CATAGATCGGGGGAGGTGCCCTCCCCCAAATGCGGCAGTCGCCGTCTCGCTCGGCGGCGGAAATCCGCGATGTCCCATGGAAGCAAGGCCCGTCGCTAATCCACGCCCCCTTGATCCATGTTTGCGATCGCCTGATTCCAGGAGGGCCACAAAAACCAGCATCATGACCTCGATATCTAAAAATTCCCGCCGTCGAGGCTTCACAAGCAGTCCAATGGGTTTGCAGGCTTGGAAGGCGGTTCTCCTGGCACTCTGGGAGGTCAAGGAGCCCCCCCCTCCCCTCGGCCTGGAGGGCGCGGGTCCTGTGGGGCACGGGTCCGAACCCCCCCGGGGCCTTCCCCCTGGGCCCAACTCCTTCAGGCCATTTCTGACAGGGACCAAGGACGGCAACAAACACCTCAGGACTCGTTTCCTTGAGGACCAGCCGGGCGTGGCGTGGCAAAAACATACATCATGTATAGATGTGTGTATGTTACACATACATCCTTATACATGTATATATGTATATGTGTATGTATATGTATAAATATATGCGTGTGAATAAGTCTATGTCAATGTCTATGTCTGTGTCTATGAATAGGTACATGGGTATGTTCATGTACACATATATATATATATATATGTGTGTGTGTGTGTGTGTGTGTGTCCGCCGGCCGCTTTGTGGGGCCACCAGGCTGTATGGCTAGGGTTTGCTGTTCCCTGCGCCAGCTCCAGTTCCCAGTTCCCACTGTTACAATTATGCTTCTTGCTGCTTGCTGTTCCTTGTTGATGGACCGCGCGAAGAGGGGAGCCGAAGAACCTAGTTACCACGCCCGGATCGCGTGCTCTGAATTCCTGGGGGGGGGGCGTGGGACACGTAAGAATATATGAAATTCGCACCCCCGAGGCCGTACACCCTCGTAAATTACACAATGTTCGCATCTCCGAGGTCATAGACCCTCACGAATAACACAATATTAGCGTCCCCGAAGCCATAAACCCTTGCAAAATACTCCGTATTCGTGTCCCCGAAGCTATACACCCTCGTGCATTAGGCAATACTCACGTCCCCGAGGCCACACACGCTCGCAAATCACGCGATATTCGCCTCACCGAAGCCATTAACCTTCGTACATTAAGCGATATTCGCGTCTCCGAAGCAATGAACCTGCGCACATGATAGTTGCGACCCCGAAGCCATACACCCTCGTAAATTACGCGAGATTCGCGTGTCCGAAGCCATACACCCTCGTAAATAAAGTCATAGTCGCGTCTCCGAAGCCAACAACCTGCGTACATTACGCTATATCTGCGAGCCCGAAGCCATACACCCTCTCAAATTACGCGCTACTCGCGTATGCGAAGCCATATACCCTCGAAGTACAATGCCGAAATTAAACCATGTCATCAGAAGCTCAATTTGTCTTGCCGGTTACTCATTGTCTTCGCGTGAAGTCCCGACGCTGTTTCACGGCGGCGCCAATGCCTCATGATTTCGCTCTTGCATTGCCCATTATCCGAAAGAGGGGGGCGGCGGCAGGGGGCGAAGCCCTTACGCATATATATATATATATATATATATATGTATATATACATACATGCACACATATATATATATATATATATATATACATATATATATACAGCGTAAACAAGTATGTACATGTATGTGTACGTACGTACGTACGTACGTACGTACGTATGTATATGTATGTGTGTATGTTTGTTTTTGTAAATATACATATATATATATATATTATATATTATATATATATACATATATATATATATATATATATATATATATATAACGACTGGAGCCCAAAACTCAATTTTTCTGTTGCCTTTTTCGGGGGCGGCCACGAGGGCGGCGTCCAAGAGGGGGGGGGGGGCGCAAATCATGGCCAGCGGCACGCGCGCGGCCCAGGGGGGGAGCCGGGGACGTATTGAAATGAGAAGGGGCGCCATGAAATCTGCGGAAATATCATGGCCAACGCCATGATTCATCACCCCCCTCCTTGCCGCCCGCGACTTCTCCGAGCTGATTCGACCCGTGGAAGTCCCGGGGCTCCAGACCGGGCGACGACGCCCGACCCGCCCGTCAGGCTCCGCTCGCCCAGCCCGTCCTTTGGGATCGTCGTTGGCGTCGTCGCCAGTCTTGGCTCAAATCGGGCATGTCCCCCTACTGGCGGATTCTGGAATAACAAAGTCAACCATTGGAAAATCGTAGCAATAGTATTGTTTGACTATGTTTGAATATTCCTCCTTCAGAGGGACATGCCCGACTTAAGACTTGTCGTCATTGTCGCGCTCGTTGTCGTCGTCGTCATCGCCGTCGTCGTCGGCGAACCCGTAGGTCGCTGTCGAGGCCAAAGACGGCGACAAAAACCTCAGGGCCTGTTTCCCGCAGGAGCCGCGTCCTTCGTGGCGATCGGTCTCCTGCGGCCGCTCGGGACAATCTGGGCACCCACGGCCTCGGCGAGGCGCAGCTGCGGGAACGCACTCAGTGGAAGCCGGCGAGCACGCCCGAGAACCCGAGGATTTCGAACCTCGAACTTCGGAAGAACCCCGTCGAGATGACCCATGCCTTCCATGGCGATCTCCATCGGACATGTACCAGCGCTGATCCAAAAAATCCGAGCGGACCTCTGAGAAATCGTGATAATGCAAGATGCTTGTTCTTCGACGAAAACCTCAGGACCCGGTTCCCAAAGAACCCGCTTCCTTGCGGCCGTGATCTTCCGGTTCTGGCAAGTTCACTTGCTTGGGGGGGGGGTCGGGAGGAGGGGGGGTGCTTGGCGAGGCCCGAGAGGCAAACATCTGGAACTCACGCACGCCCAGGCCCAGCATCCCTTGCAGAGGCGGTTGAGAGGGGGGGCGAGTGCTGTGTAAGTAGCTTGCCTGAGGCTGAAGAAAAAAACTCCCTTTCGGTCGGATGTCCCCCCCTACAGGCGGATTTTGACGGAAAATGGGAAGTAGTCCAAAAAAGTACCCCAAATTGAAAAAAATCGTCCCCAGACTATTGTTTTGCTATTTTTGAATACTCCTCCTGTGGAGGGAAATGTCCGACTTACGACTCTCTCCAAGAAGCCCGCGCGGACCTCCGACAAATAATTTTTGTGCAGTGTTAGATCGGGCGTGTCCCCCTACATGCGGGTTTTGGACGAACAATTTGAAATACCCCCACAATAACGCAACAATAGCCAAAACATATTGAGAACATCGTCCCAAGACTATTTCGTTGACTATTTTTGAATATTCCTCCTGTAGAGGGACAGGCTCGACTTAATGTTTACGCAGTGTTCTGTCCTTCGCGAAACGCCTCAGGACCCGGCTCCCCTCAGGCAAGATGCGGCCGGGGGTCTGAACCGGCTTGGGCCCGGCCAGGGCAGCGGTCAAGAGGGGGATGACTAAAAACCTACCAGACCACCCCAACCCAACCCGAAGACCCGAATTTGGGGTTGGGGGGGAGGTAAGGCTTCCAGACGTCATTTGTCAATGTGCCCCGAGCTCCCCCTCCCACTGGAAAAGGAACGTAAATGGAACCCTTCGGGTTGGACTGGGGTGGTGTGGTGGGTGGCGAGGGAAGGCGAGGCCATCCTCCTCCTCCTCCTCCTCCTCCTCCTCCTCCTCCTCCTCCTCCTCCTCCTCAACATCGGCCCCCCGACCCATGCCATGGGGGTCCACGCGGTGCAGCTGGTTCCTCGGATCCGTTCTTCTGACGGCCCCTGGGCCCGACGGCGCCGGCCCCCGGAGGCCGCAAGAGCAAGAACAGCTCGAAGCCAGGACCACGAGCCTCCCCCGCCTCTCTTCACGGCCCGAACCAGTGCTGGGCTCATGTTGCTCCCGTCGTACTTAAGGACCACATCCCAGAAATCATTTCGAGCGCCCAGACAAGTGCCGAAGCAGTGTCAGACGAGTATCGCCTCCCAGGGCCCGACACGTGAGAAGCCTCAAATTTCGGTATTTTCGTGGTGCTCGAAGGTCTTTCTGGTGATCAAGGCGTAAGTCGGTTGGAACATCACCATGCTGGGCCACCTCGGACCCAATTTCCACAGGACCCGCTCGCACTCCTCCAGCATGGGGTCCGAGCAGATGGGGTTGGAGGATCGCGCCGACGTCGCCAAGGCATTGTTGCCGATGCCTCGGCGATGCGGCCCGATGCTCCGACCCCATCTGTTCGGACCCCAGCTTGGAGGCGCTCTCGAACCAAAACCGCAAGGCCCAGCGCCCTCAGAACCCGGTTCCTTCGTTCGAGGAACAAAAAAAACATAACCATAAACTTCTGGCGCTCCGCGCTGGTTTCTTGGATCCGCGCCTGGGCACCCCCAGCGGCGCCTCCGGCGGCGCCCTTGGCGCGCCCCGCGAGCCAGGGAGGGGGGTCCAGCGCGGATCCAGGAAATCCTCGCGGAGCGCCAGACATTCATGTTTATGGAGCCTGTGTTTTTTTGGACTCAGGCAAGTTTACTTGCCTGGCGTTCGCCCCCCCCCTCCCCCCCCCTCGCTCCTCTTCGAGCGAATACCAGCGTGCAAGTGCCTCTCGACTTGCGTGATTTCCGCGCCCCCCGAACGTGCAAGTCGTTTGCGGCTCGCTTCAGGCTCAGCCCCCCCCCCCCCGTCCATGCAAGTAAACTTACCAGAGTCTTGCGGATTCAAGAAATCCTCGCGGAGCGCCAGACATTTTCATGTGGCTTTCTCCCTCGACTCGTGGCAGCCCAGAAATTTATGTTTGTGTGGTTTTCTCCCTCGCTTACAAGAAATCCTTTCTCCCTCGCTTCCAAGAAATCCAGGAATTCTCATGTGGCTTTCTCCCTCGCTTCCAAGAAATCCTCGCGGAGCGCCAGAAATCTATGTTTCTGTGGTGTTCTTCCTCGATTCGTGGCAGCCCTCCCCCCCCGACGAGCGCCGGGCGTCTTCGCGCGCTCCGCCGGCGTCCGGGGCTCCGGGGGCGCGGCGCCGCCGCGGGCGTCGCCGCCGTCGTCGTCCGCGCGGCCCTCGTGCCAGCGGAGGCCGTAGCGCACCTGTGGGGGGGGACGGTGGCGCGCGTTGCCGATGAGCGGGTGCAGGGTCATGATTCGGGGAGACGTAAGACCCGGGTACGGGGGACTCGGAAATCCCCGACGAGGTCGTCAACAAAAATGACGAGGCCGAGCCTGCATTTTGACGAGGCCTCCCGCTGCAGACATCCCACAAAACTCCTCCTCGTCAAAATCCGAGTCGTGGTCGTCAAAAAACGATGGCGAACCCGAGTCCTGGCAAACCCGGGACTTACGCTCCCCCGAATGATGTGCCAACCTACTCAAGCCTTGACCACCAGGAAGAATTTGGAGCACCACGAGCGTACCGAATCTTGACGGTTCTCACGTGTCGGGCCCCGGGAGGCGACACTCGTTCGACAGTGCTTCGACACTTTTCCAGGCGCTCGGAATCATTTATGAGATGTGCTCCGTAAGTACGATTGAAGCAACATAAGTACAGGGATCTCTTCTCAGATGATGCGTTCAACCAGACCACCCAAATACATCACCCCTAAAATGCAGAGGTGGGCGGGGAACGGAGGTGGGCCACGTCTGCTTCACTGTGCTATTTGGGCGAGGGCTTCTTCGAATACTTGTGTGACGAGGGATGGATGCCGCAAAGCGAAACTCGGCCAGGCCGAACTCGGCCAGCCGGGCTCGGCCCAGCCGATCTCGGCACGTGCCGAATTCAGCTTGGATGCGCTTCTCTTGAGGCTTCGGCAGGCTTACTTGCATGGCAACCCCCTCCTCCACCCCCCCCTCGCTGCCTTTTCGGGCGATGCTGGGCCGGAGAAGCGCGCAAACGAGCCCCAGCTTGTGTGAAGTACTCCAGATTTCGTAATAAAGGGAGGGGGGTCTCATTTCCGGGGGGGTCTCTTCCAGGCTATCTTGGAAGGCCTGGGGGGGTCTGGGGACGATGTTTTGGAGGGTTCTCCCAGGGGGGGGTCTAAAACTTCTCGTCTGGGAGGGTTGAGACCCCCTCCCTTTTATTAATGTCTAAAAACGGTTAAAAAAAGAATCTGGGGGGGACAGTTTAAAAAATAATTATTCGCGGCGCTGCAGTGCGCATATAAAAAACAAAAGGAAGGCCGGGCAAACCGGACCGCCGGGGACGTCCCCGCGACCGCCCTGGCACTCCGCGTCCAGGGGCAGATTCCTGCGTTGGGTTTGCGCGGGGGGGCATGTCTTTGGAGACCCCCCACGTCAACGACAATCGGCACCGACACCCGGCGCGTCAACGACGATCGACGCCGACACTTGGCACCGACGCTCGGCACCGACACTCGGCGCCGACACTCGGCAGTCACACTCGGCGCCGACATTCGGCACCGATACTCGGCGCGCGCACTCACCATGCGTGCACTCTCAACCCCATCGCCTCACCAGAGTGCACTCTGGGCATCCAAAGGGGGATGCCCAGAGCGCACTGACCCACGCATGGCGACTTTCCCATCGCAAACAATACACAAACCGCCACACGCCCGCGTCGGCACATTGTAGGCTGCACCGATAAACGAATACGTGAAGACCGCATTCCAACTTGGAAACCCAATCGGCAACCGCTGGAAAAGGTTCGCTTCAGTTCGCAGGCCAGCACGGCGACATTCGTATTGCGGGCAAAACAGGAACCGCCACGCGAACACGCGCGTCGGCGCATTGTAGGTTGCACCAATGGATGAAAACAAAACGGAAAATCCCATCGGCGACCGCTAAGGGTTCATTTCTAGTTCCCAGACCAGCATGGCGACGTTCCTATTGCGGGCAACACAGAAACCGCCACGTGCGCTCGAGCGCGTCGTCGCACTGTAGGCTGCACGAAAACGTAACGACCGCATGTTAAGTTTGGAACTCCTATCAGCAAGCGCTGAGAGATCACTTTAGCTCCCAAGCCAGCATGGCGACTTGTCCAATTTCTGCCAATACAGAAACCGCCACGCGCGCGTGTCGGCGCATTGTAGGCTGCACCAATAGACGAAAGCGTAAAAACAGCATGTGAAGTTGGAAATCAAATCGGCAAGCGCTAAGGTTTCAAGCTAGTTCCAAGGCCAGCAAGGCGACTATCCTATTGCGGGCAAAACAGGAACCGCCACGCGAACGCGCGCGTCGGCGCATTGCAGGCTGCACCAAAGGACGAAAACAAAACGGAAAGACCGCATGTCAAGTGGGAAATTCAATCGGCAACGACAGCAAGTTCACGCTGCATGCGCGCGCGGGCGCGTCGGCGCATTGTAGGCTGCACCGATAGACGAAGACGTAAAGACCGCATGGTAAGTCGGAACACAAATCGGCAAACGCTGCAGGTTCACTTGAGCTCGCAGGCAGGCATGGCGACTTTCCGATTGAGGGCCGCCGCGCGCGCGCGCGGCGGGCCACGCGCATCTTGTATGGAGAAAATCACCATGCGCGAGACGCCAGAGACGCAGCGCGCGCCGCGGCCAACGCGCATCTTGTATGGGAAAACACAATGCGCGAGGAGCCATGGGCCGCCGCGCGCGCCGCGGACCACGCGCATCTTGTGTGGGTACACACAATGCGCGAGGGGCAATGGGCCGCCGCGCGCGCGGCGGCCCACGCGCATCTTGTGTGGAAAACACACCGCGCGAGGGACCAGGGCCGCCGCGTGCGCGGCGGCCCACGCGCACCTTGTATGGAAAAACACCGTGCGCGAGGGGCCATGGGCCGCCGCGCGCGCGGCGGCCTACGCGCATCTTGTATGCAACAACACAACACAATGCGCGAGGGGCCAGGGCCGCCGCGCGCGCGGCGGCGCCCAGGCGCATCGTGAATGGAAGAACGCAATGCGCGAGGGGCCAGGGCCGCCGCGCGCGCGGCGGCCCAGGCGCATCGTGTATGGAAATACACAATGCACGAGGGGCCATGAGCCGCCGCGGGAGCGATGGCCCACATGCACCTTGTATGGAAAAACTCAATGCGCGAGGGGCACAGGGCCGCCGCGCGCGCGGCGGCCCTGGCCCACGCGCACCTTGTATCCAAACACACCATGCGCGAGGGGCCATGGGCCACCGCGCGCGCGGCGGCCCAGGCGCATCTTGTATGGAACAACACAATGCGCGAAGGGCCGGGGCCGCCGCGCGCGCGGCGGCCCAGGCGCATCTTGGATGGAAAATACACAATGCGCGAGCGGGCAGGGCCGCGGCGCGCGCGGCGCCCCAGGCGCATCATGTATGGAAGAACACAATGCGCCAGGGCGGCCCAGGCACATCTTGTATGGAAAAACACAATGCGCGAGGGGCAAGGGCCGCCGCGCGCGCGGCGGCCCAAATGCATCTTGTATTGAAAAACACTGTGCGCGAGGGGCCAGGGCCGCCACGCGCGCGGCGGCACAGGCGAATCTTGCAAGGAAAAACACAATGCGCGAGGGGCAAGGGCCACGGCGCGCGCAGCGGCCCAGGCGCATCTTGTATGGAAATACATAATGCGCGAGGGGCCAGGGCCGCCGCGCGCGAGGCGGCCCAGGCGCATCTTGCATGGAGAAGCACAATGCGCGAGGGGCAAGGGCCGCCGCGCGCGCGGGCGCCCCAGGCGCAGCTTGCAAGGAAAAACGCAATGCGCGAGGGGCAAGGGCCGCGGCGCGCGCGGCGGCCCGCGCATCTTGTATGGAATTACACAATGCGCGAGGGGCCAGGGCCGCCGCGCGCGCGGCGGCCCAAGCGCATCTTGTATGGAAAAAACACAATGCGCGAGGGGCCAGGGCCGCCGCGCGCGGCGGCCCAGGCGCATCTTGTATTGAAAAACACAATGCGCGAGGTGCCCATCTTGTATGAAGAAAACATAATGCGCGAGGGCGGCCCAGGCGCATCTTTTATGGAAAACACAACGCGCGAGGGGGGCAGGGCCGCCGCGCGCGCGCGGCGGCCCAGGCGCATCGTGTATGGAAAAACAGAATGCGCGAGGGGCCAGGGCCGCCGCGCGCGCGGCGGCCCAGGCGCATCTTGTATGGACAAACACAATGCGCGAGGGGCCAGGGCCGCCGCGCAGCGCCGCGGGCCCGGCCCAGGACGCATTCGTGTATGGAAAAACAGAATGCGCCGATGGGGCCATGTGCCGCCGACGGCGCGCGGCGGCCCAGGCGCATTTCTTTGTATGTGACAAACACCAATCGCGAAGGGCCGGGGCCGGCGCGCGCGCGGCGGCCCAGGCGCACCCTGGAGGTTTGGCACTAGCGCGGAGGGTCCAGTGCCGCCGCGCGCGCGGCGGCCCAGGCGATCTTGTATGGAAAAGAACAATGCGCTGAGGGGCACAGGGGCCGCCGCGCGCAGCGGCGCCCTTGGGCGAATCGACTGCTGGGAAAAACACCATGCGCGAGGGGGCAGGGCCGCCGCGCGCGCGGCGGCCCAGGCTGGATGGAAAAACACATGGGCGAGGGGCCAGGGGCGCCGCGCACGCGGCGGCCCTGTCACATCTTGTATGGGAAAACACAATGCGCGAGGGTGGCACATGCGCATCTTGTATGGAAAAACACCATGCGCGAGGGGCCAGGGCCGCCGCGCGCGCGGCGGCCCAGGGCATCTTGTATGGAACAATACAATTGCGCGAGGGGCCAGGGCCGCCGCTGCGCGCGGCGGGCCTGGCGCTCTTGTGGTGGAGACAAACACAATGCGCGAGGGGCAGGGCCGCCGCGCGCGAGGGCGGCCCAGGCGCATCTTGTTATGTAACAAGCACAATGCGCGAGCGTGGGCCCAGGAAATGCCGCGCGCTCGGCGGCCAGGCACATCTTTGTTAATGGAAAAAAACAACAATTGCGCGAGAGGGCCAGGCCGCCGCGGGCCGGCGGTTTCAGGCGCATGTTAATGAAAAACAACATGCGCGAAGGGGCAGCGCCGCCGCGCGCGCGGCGGCCCAGGCGCATCTTGTATGGAAAAACACAATGCACGAGGGGCAGCGCCGCCGCGCGCGCGGCGGCTCAAGCGCACCTTGTATGGAAAAGCATTATGCGCGAGGGGTCAGGGCCGCCGCGCGCGCGGCGGCTCAGGCGCATCCTG